CTGCACCGCAAAGGGTTAAAGTCGATTCGCGTGCAAATTCGTTACGCCAATAATCGAATGACGGTGCAGTCCATTGGAAAATTACGAGAATTACAGAAATTACGGAGATTAAATGAACCATTTATTTCGAAAATGACGATAGGCTAATGTTAAATCACAATAGAATTAAACAATCTACAAATTAACAAGATAGAAACTAATAATATTAATACAGGAATACTACGTAATTTATTATTCATATTATAAATATAAAGATATAAAAATGTGTTATGAGAAAATATATAGAATTTTGTAAAGACTATTTTCTGGAAAAAGTTATTTTTTATTCACGTTTTTTAAGTGAAGTTTTGTATTTTTTTTTTGCTGGATAGGATTACAGAATTAGATAAAAAGAAGATAAAGAAGAGTCATTTAAATTTTATTCCGAACGAATTTTTTGTCTCTCGTAAATGATTCCTATGCATGTTTCAACGGGTTTTCAACATTTATGGCTTATGCTATTTTCAAAACTTAAAAATATTAGAGAATGAACGATTCGTTTTCATTCCGTTTCTTCGGCTCCACCGAACTTTGTCTCGATTCACTTTAATTTTGTAGATCCAAGATCAACGTCGCGAGTTACGGAGATTGAAATAAGCCCCCGAGCGCGATGTTAGTCGTATCGGCGATATGCGGTGCGCCCGCGGAATCTCCGCGGAAAGAAGATATATTCAAATGTATGCAGGCTTTGTGCGCGGAGTTCCGAGATGCAAATATTTATACTAGAGTGAATTTACAATCCAACGGCGTTAATTATGCTTTCTCGCAGTCCTCGCTGGAATTGAATGAATACCGGTAACAAAATAGCAGCCGACAGGTATACTTTGTTTCGCCGGTAACAATTATCCCAGATAGCTTTTTAACAATTAGTAAGAAATGCCATTTTGCGTTTATGAATTTTATTTATGCGTGAAAAAATATTTTTATATTATTTTATAATATTTCTGACTTTTATACGCTGCTACGTTCTATTATTATTCGACTGCGTTGTAATGGTAATACGTAGTTGCGATGATTTTGGGATGCTTCTATGCTAAATTGTCGGAGACGGTTTACGACGCTCCTCGATACTCAAACTACCGAAAATCGATGCTCTTGTAAGCGCCGGCAATATCGGCCTTTCACAGACAGAAACGCTTATTCCGTCTGCAATCAGCCGCCGATCGAACGCGTCGGCTTACAAGTCAATTAGGCCGTATTCTTGCCCGGAGACCGAGAATTACTTTGAATATTGCCTCGCAATTAACCACGACCGGTCATTGAGGAATAATAGTGCGCGCGCCAGCGGTTACGACTTCCACCTGCATGAGCAAGCATTGCGGTGCCTTCATTCATTATGTTACCGTCAAGAGATATACGCAACATAGAGTCGCGTTTAATGTGCGTTACATTTGATATTATACTGGCGTTTCATGTAAGCCGCGGCATATCGAATCACCATCGCAACGATTTGTTCCGATCGAAATAACCCACACCACCTTCGATAAAATTGCGTTTGTTTTTCATTTTCTTCCAAACAAAAAAGCAAACTATCTCGATTGACTTTCGAACGAATAAATAATGGTATTATAAATCGACACATATATTCTTCATGATCTTATTGTGATAAAAATCGATGGATTATATAGTTATAAGTATTAGCTTATCTGTTTGGAAACAAAAAAAAGGTGTATAGGCGGCGCCCGCTGCAGCGGCGCGAGCGAGAGCGGCGCGGACTTCCGTGAGGCCGGAAGTCTAAAGGTGCCTTTTCACGCTGACGCTCGACGCTCATTTTTAGCGTCCAAATATGTCACGTGAACAAAGTTGACGCTGGATGTAAGAAATGCATGAAAAGAGTTTCTCGTAAAATTTAGCGTCAGTCAGGGTCTGCGTCGGTATTTATCAATATTCGTATATATCAAAACTGCTAAAAGTTTTTGTTACTGATTTTGTTCAGTTAATTTTTCACTCGCTTTATTAATAATTATTGTTTTAAATATTAAAAAAAGTGTAATTAAGTAGGAATAAGATAAAAACCTTGGTTACCAGTTCTACTTATTTTATCAAAAATGCTAAAAAAATGTTTATTAATAATTTTTTTATTATATGTAATATTTTTTATTATATGTTTACAAACATAAAATATTTACTTCATATCATATTATTTATTTTGATAAGTATACAAAATGTATATCTTTTCAATTAAACAAAGTTTCATATTATTGCAAACTTTGATAAGTAGAGTAGGAAAAACGATATTAGAATAGTTGTTCAGTATTAGAAAATTTCTAATGTAATACTTAAAAATAGCATTTTTCAAAGTTAGAAAATTAATTGTATAGAATAAAAATGCACAGCATATTGTATATATTATATTTCAAGCTTTTTATTTATAATAAATAACTTTTTATTGAATTAAATTTACATAACATTGAATATTAAATTTACATAATTAAACATATATAATATAAAGATAATTATAAAAATATATTTTGCAAATAAATACAATACTGCTGATTCTTCCAAACCTCAAAAAGTATCATTTTTAATTCATTACTTATTTATTCTTTTTATTTTCTTTATATATATGTAGTATTGGATAATAAATTCAATTATTACTTTTTATTACTTAAATAACATCCATTTTTATTAACAAGGTTGAAAGACCACATGAGACATATGCAAATCCAATAGCGAATAGCACGCACAGACAGATCATCGCACAGATCGCACGACTTGACGCTAAAGCTAAAAAAATCCAGCTTTTTTTTCTTGACGCTAGCGTCAACTCGAAGTCACGTGACTATGGGCAACGCTGAAACGAGCGTCCCATGAATTTGCACCTTAAAAAGACAATTGGTAACGGGACGTGGCGTGGGAGCCTGCTTTTCGCGCTCTTCGTGTATCGAGTGGTTTTTGGATGATTATTTAGCTTTAGTATATAGATCTTTACAGTGCATTGATAGTATCACGATTATTGCGTCGTGAAATAGTTTGATTCGGTATCTCTAAGAGATTTACGGGCAAAGGGTCCGTATCGCAATCGTTGTTGTGCGCTCTGTGGTAATAGGCCTGTAAGGCGTGGGAATCCATTCCATCGGACACCAGTCCCACCCTCATCTCGTTGTCATTCTTACTGACAACGAGACCGTTTGATGGAATCAGAGGCACAGCGATATCATTTCGATATCGTAACAGCCAAAGTGGCCTTGTATCACGCAATCTTCATTGCATGCTTGTTCGCTCATTACAGATCAGTGTAAACGTGATGCTAAAATTCTGCGGCCATATTGGATCGGCCCTCGTGACACTTACGGTTTATTGCTAAGATCTTGCTAGTAAGACTTGCATTGCCAAAGGGGTAAGCTGCACTATTTGTATTAATTGCATTGCCAAAGGTGTAAGCTGCACTATTTGTATTGATTGCATTGCCAAATTGGCAAGTTGCACTAATTATAAAATTGCATAGTCACGGCGTCAAGCCGTATCATTCGTATAATTTTGAATTGTTTAGGTGACCTTGCACCTCTCATATTATCTGGTATTGTCTAAATGACAATTGCATTAGTTCATTGCCAAGGTGGCATATTTGATAATATAGTTGTTTTCTTATTTAACGGGTTTAACAGTTATAATTTGAACACGCTCTGTGCGGCTTTCTTTACTTCTCTTTATTTTCAGGAATCACCATATAGCCGTAATAGCATCCTTATTTTCAGTTCTACATATTGATATACGCAAAAAGAGTTCATGCTTATTATTCAGTTGCTGAGTCTCTATACCGTCAAGGAAATATCAAAAAATTGTCTCTTAATTAATTCTAAGATACCATATCAATTCTTCCAGTTTGGTGAGTGAATTTGATTTGATTACATTATGCAATACACACTAATGTGAATATTTCATTTATGCGCTTTTGTTGATCGTGCGTTGATTATATTGTATTTTATATGTACTTGCATTTATATGATTTAACGTATTCTATTATGTTAATATATATGTTGTGTCTTAAGAATATTACTTAGTCAACTCAATGAGTGAATAAATTGTTACAGTCTTTTCTTTGAGATATGTATAAATGAGTTTCCCTTCAAGATTATTCGTTGTTTCTGTATTTTGAAATTATATTTAACAAAGATTTTATACATTATCAATTCAATCTTGTTATTTCAACACGCGACACATGATGAAATTATCAAAATCGTAATAAGAATGATATATATATATATATATATATATATTTAGGCACTTTCATTATTCATGTATTTATTACTTAGCACAAGATCTTATCGCAATGCTTGATAACGCGCGATAAAAAAACTTGTACGTGTTATTCTGTACTGAATAATTCATAATCATAGAAGTTCCGAAATCGGAAAAGGAAAAAGTTTTATCCTTAGTAGCGTTTTCCACTTGAAGAGTTAGATGGAAAAAAGACGTAAGTTCGAAAACATTGTCTTGATTATAAGTTGGGTAACGATTGATATCTTAAAAAGAAAACAGATTTCTCGACTTTCAGAAAGTTAATCATGCTTATTTTAAAAACGTACTTACTAAAAAAAAAAAATACTCAAGTATTTTCACGTCCATTTTCCATCAAACTTCTCAATAATTACCAATTTCACTTAACTACACAAAGATCAGTGTCATCTGCATAGTTTTGGAAACTTGAGCCGAATTGATTTGAGGCTGAATAAGTTGTATCAACCAATTTTAAAAAAAAATGTAGACGAACGTATTATATAAATATGAAAACAATTTCCACGCTGTTTCCACGAAATTATAGAATAAAATAATTCGCTAAACAATATTGAATAAATTTACTTCAATTAACCGACAAGATTGTTTTGTAAGATAAGGAAGGAGACCACAAAGAGGCTTTCGCATCCTTCACGGTGGGCAGAAGTGCCGGTCGGCCCCCGTTTGCCCGCACTAAGCAGATGCCACTGACAAAGGGCACTCGATGGTGAAGCAGTACTCACCGGTTACTGGAGAGCGATTTGCTCCTTGCGAAGGATGCGTCCGTGCTTTTGCACACGTGGATCACGTAGAGTAGCCAGTCAACTCGATGCACGATTACACGTGCGCCTCGCACATGTCCGTCAGCTGTTTCATCAATGTCGCGTTAAAAACGCGCTTATCATGATTATCAGGCCGTGCATCATCACCACTGTCGAGATTGCACGACGCGAATCGATTCAGATTTTCCGGATAATAACACTGCGCGGTTTCATCTCCTCGCCTCGTAGCGCGTCCAACGCACTACGTATTTCCTCTCGGATCGTTCGTTCAGCACGGATGACAATGCGGCTACGGTGCACCGACGATGAGAAAGAGAGATCGAGGGGCGAGCTTGAGGGATGACGTTTACGTCGCAGTCGACAGTAGCCTGAGGGATGTGGAGCAGACCCTGCAAAAGATTCCGCCTTTCACACATGTGCATGACACAGTAGCATAAAGATATCGATCACCACGTCATATCACGTGCCGCCGATCATTTCGTCGGTATACCGAAGGTCAGAACGACGAAGTGAGACTCGACAAGTCCTTTGCCAAGACGTAATTAGGAATTTAAGAATACATTTCTGCCTCTATATAGCGCGGAATAAATTTAATACTAATAAAATATTACCTCTGAATGAATTAATGAACGCTGTGTACATCAATATTGATAAGTTTCGTCGTCGAATTTATACACTGGATGTATTCTCTATGCCCGATGTAACTTTTAAATCAGATAAACGATTTTGTTATAATTTACTTCCTTTTTTTATTCCTTTACAAACTTTATAACTTTAAAGTTATACTAATCTTCTCTTAACGCGTAAATAGTATAGTTAATAAGACTTTCTAACTCTATTAAGTTAATGAATTAATTAAAATAAATTATATTTATGCGTGTATATTTGGTCAACTTTTCACTCTCGAGTGCTCGCATCTCCTAATTACGCCTCTAACTTTTAGTTCCCATTAACATATTACTTTACAGGAAACCTTACGAGTCTCAGAAGTTGTAGAAACCGCGAAGGCGCATTTTGCACGTCGTAAACTGCGAAATCGAGCTTCACGCAACCGCTGAGCTTGAAAAGGTTTCCTTATAAAGACAACGTAAATGGGCTTCGGAGTCCTGACGAGCTGGCAGGATAGCTATTTTGAAATTCGGACCTGGAATGTTTTCATCGATCCGGCAGCCGAGCAATGGCCGAGGATCGTAACATCGAGGAGAAACGATATGCGTCCATCGTATTTATTGTAATTATTTACGATGCGCGTAAATTTTATCGCACAACGGCGAACGATCGCGAGAATGCGCCGTTAAGTTTTACTGCCGCGTCATGCTTGTTCCACGCCCGCGGCGTGTACACGTGCATTATATACATGTGACACGCATGCAGATCTGTGTGCGTATTGCAGCGAATAAACGGACGAATGTGCGCGGATTCGTGCTCGTGAACGCTAGCTATAAAATGTGAGAAACTCGTTCACGTACGTGACGCCGTCATTGCGTAACGTGAGGGCCGAGAAAGCCCGCATTCCTCTATCAGCGTTACACCGCGGCCCGCTACTGGACTGTACGCTATTGTTAAGAGCGACGCGACGACACCGACAACGCGACGCCGGGCGAGACAAAGAGCACACCACCTGTTACACGCACTCCGCTATTTACAAACGACAACGTGCTGTGCACACCGTTGAGTATTTACATATTCATTATATTCCACGCGCGCTTTCGAACGCCGCCGTATCCGGAACGATCGATCGAAGACCGTGCGCGGCAGATCCCCGAATTCCACTCCTCGGTCGCGCGTTGCGCGCGTTTACGTCGGATTCGCGCGTTCACCGTAATTCATTAGGATAATTGAAACGACGCGTCCGTGCTCGCGCGCGCGCGCGCGCGCGCAATTAACGCTAGTCCCGCAATTGAAATATTTCATTTTGCGTGCGAGCTATATTATTCGCTTTATGGGCCGCGGAGAGAGCCGCGTATACGGCTATACATTACAACGGGGCGACTTGGTAATATTACACCACCGCCGCCACGCCACCATCGCTGGCCGTAATAGAAAGGCATTGTCATATAAATTCATATTACGCGATAACGGTAATACGCTGATATCAGCTTCCTGTTTTACGAGCCCGGTCCGCGTAAGAGCCGTTAAAAGCGTCCCGTTCCGTAAATCCGAGTCCGCTACCCGAATCCTCGTCGAAAATACTTGCCTCTCCTTGCCCGATGTCGTGTAAACGCGCTGATGAATCATTCGCGAGTACGCTCACCAGAGATTCTCTCTCTTTACGAGTTCCCCACAATAATATATCCGGTTACAACGTACGTTACATTTCAGATAAACGCCAAATTACAGATATATTACGCCTCATTTTACTTTATCAATAATTTTATATTGCGCGTACCACATTTTTACCCTTTACATCCTTGCCATTGCACGATTTTTTTGTTTTATCTCCAAATTAGTATTTTAGTATTCGAAACCACATCAAAGTAACACACTCGAAGCACAATTTATAAAATTGAAAATCATAAAAGGCTAAACTGCTATTTCTCAAATACGAGTTTTGAAATTTTTATGAATTTCATATTTGCTCTTTATTTTTATTCCGTAATTTGCATATTGTTTACATTTTCAGTATTATGTTTGTTATCCCGTATTACGTACGTTTTGTTAAGGCATATTCTTTCATTATTTTTTATACTGTCAATTCTTTGTGATTTGCTCCTTATAATGCTATACGTATTTGTAAAAATCCATATATGTATATACAAACAGACGCGAACGTTTCTATATAAGCGACGTTTAACGCAAGCATTTATTCCTTTCGCGTTCTATTAATACGTGGTGTTATAAAGCGCGAGTGAAATGTATACATATATACTGAAATATCATCAGCTCTTTTAGTATTAATAGATTGTACAGAGAACGTGGTTATATATAAAACTTATCACTCTTTTGACTTTTAAATATGCACAAATAAACAATTTTTTTTTTAATTGCTGCGAAAGATATATTAATGGTATATTATTTTAACATTTTATTTTTATCATTTATATCTACGTAGCAGAACATTCTGAGAATGCACGATAATTACACGATCATTCCATACCTACAGTATATTAATGCTAAAAAAGACCAATGGTTACTTCCGATAAAGCATTCCATAAATATAAGAAAAAATTGAAAAGAATAAAAAATCTAAAAATGCAGCAAGTTAAAATAAAAAAAAAAGGATTAATTTCTCATGGATATTATCGTTGCGAGCATACGAAATCAATAAAGAGGTGAGTTAAGTACGAAGTTATTTTCGTTGAAAAAGATAAGCAAGTAAATTATTACTGGACTTGTCACTTTTGTGGATTCGTATAAATATGAAGCTTGACTTAGTAGGAAATTAATATTTCCATCGTTTTTCACGTTAAGCTTATGCAACTCTCTTTATTCTCGCATGATGTATTTCATTATGCGATTTCCTGACTATTCTCATTGGTAAAGAATATGTACTTTTCTGGAGCTATAACAAGGAAATTCTTTTGCGGCGTTCAACAGGTCGTAATAAAAGCAAATTTTTACAATTCTTTTTTATAAAATCGATAGACCGCGTAAAAGGGTAATGAAAGCCTTTATTATTGATCAATCGCGAATAGATGAACGAAAAATATTGCAAATTCATGTGACATATTTTTACTTGAATACGACTGAATGATTCTTTTTTCATATATAAATGCAAATATATTTATGGATTACATCGTTAATCTATTAATTAGTTAAGTAGATGCATTAAAGCGTGCAATATTATGCCGTAAGTTGTGTTCTTGTAAAATATAAAATGTTATTTTATTTTTCCTCTAGAAATAAGTGTAAGAGACTATTTCTCACACAGTTTTAACATAAATGCTCTTGAATCCTTTCATCATAAAAGCTATCCATATATGTACATGCATTCATGTTGTAAGGATATATCAGGTGGAGTCCATTGATTCGTATTCACATTATACATTTAGTTAAATCTATTTAATTCTCATCCCACGACGTTACATCGAAGGCAGTCTTCATATTGTACATAAAACTTAGAATTGGACGGCAACATTTAACGGTGAACACGACGCTAAATGAATCCCATAAAGTGAAAACAATCCAAGTGCCAAGAATTAAAAATTGAATAAAGTTTGAATAAATGTTTAAAATAGGCTTTAACTGTTCTATTTATGTTTTAAAATAATTGCAAGGTGTTATATAACAAACAAATAAAAATTCTTTCAAATTACTTGTATTCTTTTGAATTTATGGGAATCAATTAACGACGCAAGCACAGATCGTTGTCGGTAAGATACAAATCGCGCCAGACAATAACACCACCAACGTGCATACATCGATCATCTCAAGTAGCAAATACACCAACAGTAATTGCGTGCAAGCGTGTGACGAGTACGTAAGAACGATTATGCAGAACATCGACAAAATCTCGTGTGAGTGCGAGCGAGCGAGCGAGCGTGTGTCGAGACGGGACAAAAACGTATCGGCTTGACGTACCCTCGCCGGGTGCCTGTCATCCGCCGACGCGTTGTTCACCGTCCGACAACCGCAAGGCGCGCTCGCAGCAACACGCAGGATGCGGCTTTTGCGCGTATACATATCACGCAATCCAAAAGGAATCAAATGATCATTCGGTTTACCGTCGTCGTTCGGAACAACCCTCGCGGTCGTGCATAGCATCACGTTCGAGCATCGCTATCTTCTCTGTCGTACGTCCCCCTCCCAGCCACCCTCTATGTCCCTTTCTGTCCCTCTTTCCCGCGCTCTCGCTCTAACGCCCTCCCTGCCCGTAACAGGCGTCCTAGCTCCTCTCTCCCACTCCCTACCTCCCGTTCCCTCTCTATGCACGAGAATGCCCGGGGCGAGGTTTAAGGACCGTCACGCGAATACATTTTCTTACACGAGTGTCCACCTCGGAGGTCCTGCGGACACGACAGGCACAACGCCACGGCGTTTACACATCTTTCGTCCTCTTCTACGCGTCGCGTTTCGCGATCTTCCTTTCTCTCTTTCTCTCTCTCTCTCTCGCTCGCTCGCTCGCTTTCTCTCTTTCTCTCTCACTCTACCTCTTTTTCTCTCCCTCTCTCTAGCGCTCCCTCTGACTCACTCCTCTATCCCTCACGCTCTCACTCGCCGTTCCACTCGCCCCTGCTGCGCGGTCGTCGTCTCTCGGCGTCGGGAGAGACCGGAACGAACAGGAGAACTCACGGGATGCATGAAATGGAGATCTGGAAACGCTATATGTCCGTAACGTAACACGTGAGCCAACAATTAGAAGACGGCGACAGTACGGCGACAGTACGGCGACCGGAGCACGGTGCAAGATACAGGCAGCGTAATTCCGTTGTGTGACGGGCGAGCGTGATCGAAAATGAGAGAAAGAGAAAGAGAGAAAGCGACGAAAACGGTGACCGCGGCAGCGGCGGCAAGGGATGCAACAGAGGGCGAGAGCGTGCATATACAGAGAAAGAGAAGGAGGGCGGAAAGAGAAAGAGAGAAACAGGAGAGGCAGATGGACGGAGTAAGAGAAGGGGGACAGGGAGGGCCAGGGTAGTACTGCACTCGTCCGTCTCTCTTCCCGCGCCGACTGCGACTCACGCACGGAACCGCCCGCGTGTCTCCCGGGTAAAATCGACTGTCTCCTGGATAATGTCGCGTATCCCCTGAGTGTAATCAACACGATCGTCACCGTATATCAAGGATGATAATGACGAATGAGCAATGACGGTGTCGATGACAAGGCCGGTGAGCACAGAGAAGAAGTAAAGGCCGAAGACAAACTTCGCTTGATCGAGATCGACCATAATGACGACGACGACGACGACGACGACGATGACGACGACGAGGACGACGATGACGAGGACGAGGACGAGGAGAACGTAGGGCCGTCGCCAAATCCACGCCGACGAGGACGACGATGACGAAAACGACGACGACGACGACAGTGCTGTTCTAGGCGTCGCGGCGCTCACACACCGGCTCACTGAGCCCGAGGTGGGCGACACCGGCGGAACGGAGGATCACGGCTACGACCGACGAGGACCGAGAGAACGAACCGAGCTTTCTGACGGAAAGCGCAAGCGCACCGGGAGGCGGCGTACGCGAGCGCTTTCCCCGTCTCTCCATGGTATTTTTCTCCTTCTTCCTCGCTCTTTCATGGCTGTGTGTAAAAGTATCAAAATATGCTGTACATACCTTTTCTTGTACATACCTTTTAATTTTGACTCAATGTTTGGTGTTGCTTTGTATATTTAAAATCCTTCTTTAGGAGAATAGTTGGATTTGACGGCATCGATGAACGAAAGCACTTTTGCCTTCTTCGTTTCTACTTCTTTTTCTTTTCATCATTTCATCGAATCGACCTTTCCCTTTGCGCGCCATTCGTAGGACACACTTTCTACGAACTTCGAAAGGTCGATGAGATTCGGCGTGGGAGTCGGACGGCGGTTGCTGTTGTTGACCGTCGTCGACGTCGCCGTGATTGTCGACGTCGTTGATGTTTGATGACACACCGGGTGCTCGGGGCGGCGCTTACGGACGTGCTTGTCGAGCGAACTGCGTGTAGTCGAGAGTTGTACTTCGCTTTGTGGCCCTATACTTCATGGCATGGTTCGGCGGTAACGAGCACGAAGAGGGGAATGGTCCTTTGAGCGATGCCGTAGGTCTGGTCTCTTCCAGCCGCCAGGATACTTCCGGCCCTTTTCCACGGGACTTCCGGCACCCTTCTTCCTAACCGGCCCAGAGTGGTTTCGTACCGTGCGCCTGGGCAGGAAACTGACAGAAGCGCTGTTATGTTGCTGGAACATAATCGACGAGGAAATTACGTGTACTGTGCACGTCACATGCGACGCCGGTACACTTGCCGCGGCTAATTTACAGTACTCTCTGAAAGTACGAGCAAATTGCTTCCAGTAATTGCTCTTAGAAAGACCACCGATTAGTTTATTTTGTACAAGTAGGCTAAAGTTATGTTTTGAAGAGGGATAATTTTTTCAAAGGTAGCTGAAGGCTCGACTAAATTATATTTATCAACTATTCTAATTGCGTTATTATATAGAGACCAAATACAGATATTAAAAACTGCACGAAGAAAAAAGTAATCATATATTCAAGCGAGATCGTACGATATTTCACATCTCGAATACGATTATTACACGAATTTCCATTAGACGAAGTTTATATGATAATATTTCGTATTAAACGCTGAAAGTAACTAAGGTCAAGGTGCACATTTCTTAGCTGCATTTCTTAGCATAAAACTAAAGTTGTTAATTATCCCTAATTATTATGTAAAGCAAGAACGCTACATGAACCTATTAATGTAACGCGGTTACGTTTCGCAATTATATCGTTCCGTCGACCGACTTTTCTGAATTGCTCCATATTCCGAGATGAAAAGCGCGCTCGACGCTTAATATGAACGACGACGTACCTAAAGCAGATAGTCTGAGACGCATATGGCTCTCGAGCGATATTTTCAAAGTGCACGTTTGGAACGAGGTACGTTAGTCTTCGTACGATTGCCCGCCAGGTAAACAAGCTCTTTATATACGTACAAGCGGTACGTACGACGAGGCACTGCAATTACCCTGTCTATCTTGCAGCGAGGTAGAGGCAAGCAAAAAGGGAAAACGGCCGCTTTCGTTACCGCCTCCTTGCTGTAAAAGTTCCAATATCGAGATGTTTGGAAGTAAAAATGCGCGGCATTCGACATAATACGAGAATTCCCGTTATGCGTTATATTACTAGATTATTCGTGCATCTCTCACAATTTCTCAATATTTAACACTCCTCGCGTAGGCGTATTCATTTCTCGACCTTCGACCTTTGACATCGGATATGCCGAGAGAGCACTTGAGACCTCTCTTGCTGGCTCTAAAAAATATGAAGATATTTAATCCAGATATAAAATGGGAAGCAGATTTTCTTTACACTCGAAGAACATATCAAGATGAATGCTGTATGGCTAAAAACGAAATACGTACTTGAGTTCGGAAACGAGATTCGCTCATTGACCTTATCGAGAGACATCTTCCATGCATACATCCGTGTACATCCAACACCAAATATAGCTCTCTGACCCTCATCCTGTGTTTATGTTGAATACGATCTCGATAATAAACGAGGAAAAGTCGGAATATTGGACGAGCACATGGGTATTCAAGTATTTTCAAGAAAACATCTTGAACTTTCTGATCTCCTGAAACGAGAAAAATCTTTCAACAAATTTGATTTTTGTAAAAAATGACGTTTTTTACGAATTAGTAAATAAAAGGATTATATCAATATTAAATTAATTTCAAATACAATTTTTACTAATAAACCGTAAATAAAACATTTAATTATATTTATAATTAATAAATACTTATTAAGAAATAATCACAAATCGTGGCAGTATTACAAATGGCCTAAACAATTTTTTACACTTGTAGATTTATCTCCTCCGAAATTAAAACCAATATGTTCACGTCGAACATCAACGAAGAGCTGTGTGTAAGTGCAAGTCGCTGTCGATTCGCGCAATTTTTATTCGCAAGTCGACATATAGCTTAATATTCGCGCGAGCGGATCGACGGGGGATGACAAATGGCATTGGCAACAAGCGGGCCATCGGTAGCGCTCGAATTGCGAATATTCGACGCGCGTATACTTCTTGGAACATCCATCAAACGTCCTACACGTGCGCGCGCGCGCGCGCGCGTCCGTGTATCCCCGCGACGCGATGTGCACATGCCGGTGAACGCAATCGCAAAGATCCGCGGATGGATCGATGCGAATCGCGAGAAGCGGCGCAGGCACCGTGCTGAGACCCGCGAAATGTATGAATATTCCGCGCGTGCATCGCTCTCGAATGCGACTCGAGTGCGGTATATAACACGACCCCGTTCGTGCGCGTCCGCGCGGCATACAGGCGTTCTAGCGATGCTCTCGCGCGAAATATCGAATTAGACGCCCGCAACTCGAACATGATAAAGTCAGCGAAGTTTGCATTAAATGTAAAGTTATACATAACTCTTTAATAAAATTCATTGCAATCACGAGAGACTGCCCAGACTCATTACTTCCATGTTAATTAAATTCACATGACATTAACAGCTTTAAATTAACTCATTGTCAGCGAGAAATCATTACTTCTCTTAATTATTTATTTCAAATTTTATTTTGTTTTATTGCAGAATTCTCAACGCTAATCTACATGTATAGCCACAATTAATCTATACTTTTAAAATACTGATACGGATATTTTGAAAAACTTACCTAATGTACAATATTTTATACTGTTCTCGCAATGTTGCATTTTATATTGCATTGAAAACTTTGTATTTTCTAATTACGATTCTGTTAAAATATTATTTTGTATTATTTATATTTATTAAGATAATGCAAAATTGGTATAAAGACTGTGTTCCAAAATGCACTGACAATGCCAACAACTTATGTAATATGAACCATGAATTGTCAGTACTGGCAGTGTACTATGAGTTAAATCAGTGTCACTAACCTAACCAGAGTATAGGTCATTTTTTTTTTATGATGCTTGCCCTTATTGGAAAATAGTATCACTCTTTTACTTATCTGTTTCTCCGTTTTTTTCCAAATTATAGATCATTACTGCGTAATCAACAGATATGATCAGTAATAGTGGGAAAAAAAGGCAAACTTATATTTACGCTCTCCAAAAACACGCGATTTCAAAACATGGTCTGTTGACTGCACTCGAATCGATAGTCGCCCCCGTTGCTCGTCTGAATTCTCGCGAGTCTTGCGGCTATGTTAATATTCCCGAAGTGCGTATCGATACCTATTCAACGAGAGCACCCGTTCTCCGGTGCTCGCTCGAAAATTGCGAGCCAGTATTGGGTTGAGTACCCATTGCTAGCTAGGCTAGGGTAGGCTAGCAAGCGCCCGCGCGTTTCCGTGCGCGCGTGTGCCCCGCGCGCCGCAATTACTTAATTGCTCGTATCTGATTGGGCCTGCCGCGGGGGAGGGATAACGGTGTCCTCGGTTCGTGATTTGCGCGCCGCGCGTGCAACGCGTTTCCATTGGCCGGGTTACCTGGGCGGCCGACGAATCAGCCATTCATTTCTGAAACCCCGCGCCGCCGGCGCTAGTAACCTCTGTGAGGAAGCGAGACTGACGGAGCGAGGAACAAGACGCGCGCGCGCGCGCCAGAGAGAGAGAACGACGAGTATCGAAGTTTCGAATGCGCCCGACATCGATAGCCGCCGCCGCGCTGCGGCAACGCCGCGCGCGTCCTCGCGACAGTACGAGACCGACGCGCTCGCGTGTCACAGAAATCGCAGCAACGAGACGAACGAAGGGAAAGAGAAAAGCGAGGCTGGAAAACAGGAAAAGAGAAAGGGAAATAAAGCGGGAGAAAAAGAGAGAGAGACCACTGTTGCCGTGAAGCGACAGAACGCATCGTGACAAATGCCGGATAACAGATAAAAAAAACATAGAAAAAAAAGGAAGAATCGAAGCGCCAGTCGGTGGTGGCGACGGTGGGGCGTAGTGCACGCTCTCTCGCGGTAGTCGCGCCAAGCGTCAGTGTTAATATGGCCGTTGACGTGAGCGCAGTACGTGTAGAAACGCGGACGCGATAGTAGTCTTGGTTCGATCCCCCTAACATGAGGTACATTGTGACCAGGAGGGACGCTTTTACGTAATACCCAGATATAACGGACGTACCCGCAAAATGAACTGCGCCGCGCCGGAGGCGGCGGCAGCCGTGAGTGGCGAGCAAATTGGCGCGGTACAAGGTACGTGGTGCATCATCCTCTACGTCGCGCGATCGAGCAACGTGTATATTCCTTTGCGTCTTCTCGAGGGAAGACGATCAAGACGATGTGCGCGATTCGTTGTGTTTACGAGTACGTTTCATGCGAGCCTCCGCACGCAATCAACTCGTCGCGATCGATTCACCGATTATCATCACTGTCATTCAACTATTGTTCGTCACGGCCTTCGACGAACTCCACTCGCGTCCGGTGCAACGCGCCAGCCGCATGGCATTCCCGGCTGCTCGCTCGCTCGTTTTCACGCGCGTGCCGCGTGTTTGTGATTAAGCTCCAACTTGATCTGTGCAAACAATAAGCCGACGATGCTTTTCGGTGCTGATGAACGGTGCCGACGACGTGATACGAAATGAAAGTGTGGTGCATCGACCTCTGGAGGACAACCGCGCGTCCTTCGGACGAAAATGAAAACGTGTTCGTGCGCGTCACGTTGTAGTTCGCGGTTTTACGCGTGCTCGCGCTCCGAACGAACACGCGTTGCGTCTCGATGATAAGCGAAAAATAAACGTCGTCGACGCATATTGTTATTTACTTTGCACTTTTTTTCTAAAAATAATTACGACAGAGAGGGTTGCAAACGAACACACACGCGAGGAGAATGTTCCACGAATTCGCTGGTCGCTCGACGTCCAAGACAATCGATACGCGTCCTCCGGATTTACTATCGGCATGTCCGTTCTTTCGCGACAATATTACTTTATCAGCTTTCACGGTGGCATTCGGCGACTCGCGCTAATCGTCGTGCGCTCGTTAACGGAACGCCAATTAATACAACTTTAATTCGGAAATTTCAATAACGGCTTTTACAAGTTTGAAAAGTTTGATTCGCGGTAACTTCGAAAACACGGCTTGGGAAACGTGCTGTTCAGTTGTGAACGTTACAGAAATGTATAACCGGCTTTTGGGCAATTTATAGTCTGCATGGGTCTCTCGGCACCTGCCACGGCAGATGTTAAGAATGGTCAGGGTTTCAAGAAAATGATGGGTAGTTTTAAAATGTACATGAATTATGTACGATGATCTAACGATTTTTGGCGTAGAATAACAATGAACGCTATTCTCTTTGATCGATGCGGCATCGTTCCGATGAATAAAACTCTGCACAAATCCGATTATTGCGATACGATACCGTCTGCATCGATTGGGCAATCGGCAATCGCTGTTTCGAATAAAACCGGTACGCGTTTCCTTAATTGGCGAAACCACTTTTTCGTTAAACGCTTCCGCACTTGATAAAATATGGTACGAAATTTTCACTTGCATTGGAAATATTTGCTACATTGATATTCTAATTGAAATTTAATATCTTTAAACACATTGTGTGTGCGAGGATTTTATGAAAACCCGTTCGTAATCGTTGTCCGTCTTTTTGTGTACGTTATCATTGTCCGATTTTTTTGTGTTTTCTGCGGCTGACTTGCTAAAGATTTTGTAAATCTTGATCGATGTTTAGATATCAAAAACGCAATGTTTAACCATGAAGGAGGGTCTAAACTAAACAGTGACGACGCAAAATCAACAATTATAGAATTATTTCCATGGGTCTCAGAATTTAAGAAAATGTGCAAATGTATATACGCAGACAAAAGTATGACTTCTTTGGCAAAGCTTATGCACTACTATATCAGGTAATTTACATTCAGTATTTCTTGTAATACTATGTGCACAGTTCACCAGTATATTACTGTTTTGAGCACTGGTGTCATGGTATTAATGCATGACATATGTTACAGTAGATGTTCAATATATAGCAATAATTGGTGTTCTTGTCTAAAAACAAGTAATAAATGCGTTTTTGAGAATCTCATGTAAAATTTGAATTATTAAATGGCTTTAAAATTTTTTTTCTTAAATAATATTCTAACAATGCCTATATAGTTTTACGATATTAGTGTTAATTACAGTATTGATAAACATAAAATTTCTAACAAATATTTTTAATAAATAACCTTTCTAAAACAAGTAATTTTTGTAGTAAACAGTTGCAATATATATTGCCAAAGTGAGAAGAATGGTTTTGTGTGTTTTTAAAGAAATACGTTTTAAAGAACATTTAATAATTCATTATATATATAAAAACAATAATGACCCATTAATGACTCTTAATGAATTTTTGAAATATCATATAGTATCTATAGAAAAAGTTAAGATTTCTGTAACATGTAATTTTTTATACATCTCTTTTTCAACAATATTGTTGGTTTCTTTATTAACTGGAAAAACCTTAGTTATTATGCATTGTACACACAATTTCCTCTACGCTGTATCATTATTGAACTGATCTTGAGGGTCATCCAGCTATTATTATTGTATTGACCCTCTCAATTGATTAATCAGATTGTAACAGTCTGAAGGTCGAAAAAATATTGTTTTATCTGTCACAAGGCAATGTTAGAGCAATGAAGAAAGTATTTAATTATTAAATTAAAAAGTACAACACATAAAGATTTACAAATATGGATTGTAAGAAAATAGATTATCAAAAGTGTTACAGGTTATTTTACAAAAATGGGACCAAGTTTTTATTTAGATTTTATCTTGCATCACATATCAAAGTAATTACCAATTGTTATTGTTTAGAAGATTATAAACTATATATTTAATATACTTAACATATGTGTATATATTCACTATGAATGCTTTAATAAATTTACTATTTATTCTCTACATAACTAAATTATAGCAATAATAAGTTAATTAGTGTGTGCATAAATGTCTTATGCACTGTTATATTAAATGTACATTTTTTATTACAGAAATGTAAGTAAAAGTGTAAATGAATGTTATACAAAGCCTTTAAGAGCAGCAAAGTTGAAGGATTCTCTTAGTGAAACCTTACTTTTGTTCTTATATATCTATCGCGAGCTTTCTGAGGTAAGTTGAGTCGATTACTATGTTACATCACATTCGTATAATTTTTTTTTACCGTACATAACTGCTTTCTATAGTATACTTTAAACAAATAAACAAATAAAACATTTAAACAAATAAAACTTACTTTTTTCAGGACTCTAATAGATCTATTTATTTAAATCACATGTCCGATTTGTTGGCATTGTACATAGATATGGAATTAAAAGCTTCAAGAAAAAGTAAAGAAGATCATAGCAAAATTTGTACAAGACTTACTTCTTGTCTTTATGTATATTTAGGTATGTATTTTAAATATTACTTATTTGATTTAATTATAAAATTTTTGGCTAACTGGTAATAACAAAATTTTTTCCATATTTTATTCAGAATATTCCACAGAGCATTTGTTAGATACTTTAATAAAAATACAATTTATGTGCCGGGGTTATCATCGTATTTTAGATCCGATAATGAAGTAAGTATACAATATACAAAGATACGAAATTTCTAAATTTAAGACTGCTGATAATTTGTTTTTTAACATTGTTTAATTTATTATTTTAAATTAAATAATTATTACGTTGAAATAGTATATATATTATTCAAAATATTTTATATCGTATTTTATACTGTATATTGCATAATATATATAAATTTTACTTACTATTTTTTATAATATATTTCATAATTTTATATAAATAGATTCTGGCTTCTTTATATTATTTAAAAGTTGATATTATATGTAAAAATATGTCACTAATTATTTATTTATAATTTTAAAGATATATATGTTAAAAATTCTTATTGTGTTATATATGGCTTTTTTATTTGGTTTCAGAAAAGTAATTGAAAATATTCCAGCGCATCCCGAATCAAATATTATGTACGTTCGTTACCTTCTAATTTATTCTCTTTGGAGAAAGGTAAATAGCGATATGGCCGTGAAAAGTCAAATTACTACAACCGCAATTGCCTCTCTGGGAGCACCACCAGCTGCTTTTCCACCATGCGTGTTAGAAGATGTATTACCGAAAGTGCCAAAGGGTCAACCAAATCCAGCAAAATATCTCATGCACCAGAAATTTGACATAAGAAAATGCTGTGAATTATTTATACAGTTCTGTAGAGAAAGCAAAGGAAATATCTGGCAACAAAAAAATGAAAATGCAGCTACTACTACAAGCCCATCCAAAAAAACTACTTCACAACTGGTATTTATATTATTATTATTATTATTCTATTTTCACACATTTTGTAAATATTGTGTGTTTTGAATTATTCAAATTATAATACTAAACTATTTTTGTTCCAAATGTAATGAAATTTTTTATTTATGTATTTTATAATATAATAATACATACGACATACAAATAAAAAGAGATTACCTTTATGCAAATTATTTATTAATTTCTGTGTATAAAATCTCTATTTCATCATATTAAATAAATTTAGCATTTACTAAGTATAAGCACAAAGTAACGTGGATTTAAAATTTATTTATATAAATAAAGTTTAATTTGTGCTTGATTGAGAAAAAAATTGCATAAAGATAATATTATTAAAATCAGATTTTTTAATAAGGCAATAATGAAGTTTGTATGTCTTTTAGCTGGAAGTTACATCACGCGAAAATGAAAATAAGTTTAGTCTTGTTTCTTCAGCTAAAGCTGTGCAAAATAGCTCTGTCCCATCAGATAATTTAAAGTCTTTAAATGTAAATGAACAGACAAATGTTAAACCTTTAGGTACAATTTCTTCAAATGTTTCTGTAACACGGACTATTTCTAAACCGATGAAACCAAAAGTGCTTCCTCGGAAGAAGATTAAAAAATCTGACAAAATTTTACTAATTGATCTTACAACTGATACCGCTTCTGAAAGATGTATAAAGAAGAGAAAATCAAGAAAAATTGTATGGCTCAAAGAAGCAATAAAAGCATCACAGAAGATTAAAAAGCAGCAGATGGCTGAAAGCGTAAACTCCTTGAAGAAAGTGACTCTTAATCAACAAGTAGAAAATTTGCAGTCCTTAAATGCCACAGAAAATACATGTTTGAAGAATGATTTGAGTGCATCTACAATACGACCCACGAAATTAGATAGCGATAAAATTAAATCTATGCAACATTTTGAAACGGAACATAGAGGTACATCAGTCAGTGGTAGCACAGTACCTACAAAAACGGTGGATATGAACAGCAATGATAAAAGTGAAATTGTTGAGATACCCTGCACAGTCTCTTCTTCTGTTATCGTTGATAGACCACAGTCTAATAAAGCTAAAGCTTCTACAAACTCGTTATCAGATGTTGCAAATGACACTAATAACATTAGCAAATGTCATGATGTTAACGCTATTTCGGAGGCAAAGAATGATCAAAAAATGAATGATATACATAATACACAGACTGTGATTAAACGACTGATAGAAAAAGATACTCTGCCTGAAAGTGAAACATGTAAAAGAGTTGAAAGTTTAAGGAAAATCTGTGATTTAGGAACAGAGCGCTCTAAAACTGTAAATACTCCTCCCGCGATATGTGCCCAAGGTGATTCCAAAGATGAAGATGATAGTACTAATCATAATGCTAACAATCTTAGTACAACTAAAGATAAATTATCTCCACATGTAATTACGTCTCTGGTACACACGCATCGCAGAAATAATGGAAAGGATGAAACAGTTGAGAAAATGGAGGATACAAGTGATAATGAAAAATCTCGGAAGGTAGAAGGTAAAGAAAATATTTATAACACAGTGAATAATGGGATACAGTGTTTGAAATCAATCGAGATCGATAGTGATTTAAATAAAAAGAAATTTGCAGTTTTTACAACAGTAGCTGAAACTCATACTATAACAACTGTAAGTAATATGGAAGTACTAATAAGTAATGCAACAGAAAATGCGGAGCTACAACGACTACGCATTACTGAAAATACAAAGCAACCAAAGGAACCTGAATCTCAGGATGAATATGTATCAGCAAAATACAATGTTGCAAATAATACTATAAGTCCTAGTATAACGAATGGAGACCATTCTAATGTACAAAGAGATTTAGAAGTTGGTACTTGCATCGAAATAAGTGACGACATAAGGGATAGAAAATCCTCTAACCATAAAATCAGAGAAACTATTTTTGAAAAACACACAGCTGATAAGAAAAATATTTCTGATATCATCGACATGTCACTGTGTTCACAGGAGGAAGAAGTCAATGAAGAAGAAGATATCGACTTGAGAGTAAATCATAAAAAAGACATGAAAATCGAATCTAACAGGAATTGTGGCAAAGAACATAATATAGAGGAATTAGGAAGATCTTCTGTACTATGTACAAAGCTTGAGAAGGATCTTCATAGGTTTGACCAAACACACGATCATAAATTACTAAAGGAACCGTACAAGATATCACACACAAGAAATGTTTCAAGTTCATCGAGAGATAAATGCATTATTCAAGATTCAGAATTACAGGATAATATGGATGGACTTTCTTTGTTAGCAAACGTTATTGCAAGTCAACACGTATCTCATCTGAAAACTGAGCGTGAGTTAAAATTCGAACAAATCAAAGTCAAAGACTACGCATCGTTACGAAACTCTCCTTGTAATCAAACTACCGACGACGAAGCGGATACCAATGATTTGTCGTCGAATACAGTTTCTCAAATTTTGGAAAATCCGACTACCGACGTTATCAATAGAATAGTTGGGATTTATCCGGAGGACGCGTTGGATAAAGTAGCGCTTCACGTGGAGGTAAGATCGACAACTGATTCCGATGACCGTGAAAACGATACAAGCAATAGTGTTCCACATATTGTTCAAACTTCCATAAATTATGAGACAGACACGTTATCCAATAATTTAAGTATAGTCGAGAACAATGTACAGTCGATAAAGGAAAACACAAACGTTATATTAAACGGGGAAACGGTCATGCTGTTACAAAAGTCTCCCAATAGTAATTTGTACATCATTAATAAAGCAGTGGAAAATGCACGAGATCACAATAGTGACGATGAAAGTTGTCCGATTAAGGAGAAAAACTGGATGATTCCACCAGAAGATTGCGCATCGTTTGAAGTCGTTAACACGTCGGAGCACATTTCGTTTAATTTGGATCTGCCACAATATAGCAAAGAATTATCGTGCCAAGAAAACAAGTTTTCCGTTGGGAGGAACAAAAGTATAAAAATCGAACCCGAAGAGGAAGGTAGCCTGATGAATATCACGGAGATAAAATCTTACGGCAAGAAGGGTTCTCTGTCGGCCGATGTGTTACCAGCAACGTCGCAGATCTATCAGGATACAAACGTCGCTAACGTGAGCATCAGCAAGTCGATCGACAAACGGAAATCCAAATCCATCCTCACTTATAGGCAGAATATTAAGCAAGAGTTTAACAATCACATTGCGCCGAATTGCGGAATACAAGGATGCAGCGGAATTCACTCGCATCCGCACGAAGTGATTGATCCGCAGCATCCGCTACATATTCCGGTCACTCATCCTACGACAATATCTTCAATTTACGGAAATTGCGCTGCCGGCACGGATCTATATATGCCGTACCACAAACATTGCACCTCCGTGTCGTGTAGTTTACAGATTAATTCCACTACTTCGCTCCATTCCCACAAGAAATCCGCTAATTCATGCGGGAGGTCGCACTGCTCCTGTTTAAATTGCACATACGACATAGTCACGCATTGTAGACAATGTATACACCCTGCCACAGACTCCCACGTGTCTTGCATTGAAAGTAATTCTTATTTTTTGCCCGCACACTCGTCAGTACAAACATCCGCCGTCCAAGAGCATGAGAGGACAAAAAGCGAAGCGGTAATAAGTAAATTGTATGACGATCAAATATTGTGTAAAATAGAGCAGAGAGTATCGCTACAAAATAACACATTGGAGAAGCTGGACGTACAACACGAACCAGAAAAGTTGTTCAAGGACATGGAGAACAAATTGCCGCTGAAGAAAAGGTTGAAGGCTCAAGCTATGATGTCCATGGCGTATGAGAAATTGCCTATTAAGACGGAAAAATTGGATAACTACCCTGGAATTCCCATGATGTCCATAGCAGCCTTAGAAGCACTAGATGGTACACAGAAGCATCCTTCGCAAATCATTAAATCATCGTACGAACTATCTCCTAATGAAGAAGACAGTCCACATGGCAGCTATCATTACAACTCGAATATAGTGCGAAGAGACTACTACAAAGATATGCACATTTCTAATACACATCATAATAATGTTACGAAAGAAAGTACAAGGAATCATGAGCGTCAATTTCGATCGAACGGTGATCAGTCTAACGCAGTGTGCCTGGAAACTTGTCAGGACAGGACATTCAAGACACCCGCGCAGCGCAGAGATGTAACGAGTCCGACATCTCTGAAGCGTATAATGACGGAAACGGAGATAGAGCAGGATACTGCGTGCAAAAAAGCGAAAAAAACGCAGTCATCTATTAGACAAACGAGAAGCTCAAAACGAAACGTTCCTAAGGTAAATTATTGTTACACCGATGTTGATCCAGAATGGAATTCGTCCGGTGAGTCAAAACGAAGGCGTAAAAAGACTAGTCGATGATCAATACTATTTCATTACGAGAAGTCACTGCTGTAAAAAAGAAAAAGGAAAATAAGCAACCTGTACAGAGGACAAATGTGTTCTTCAAGCTGTGGCACTGTAAATCTGTAAATACATGTATAAAACGGAAATGAAAACTCGTCCTAGGAAGATGTAGACATAGACCGTTCAACGTGTTCAAGATTAGCGTCAGCGAAGAGTTAAACTAGCTACGTAGGAAACTCCTGCATAAAATATTTTTGATGTTTGGTTAGATATCGCTAGAGAAGCAAGTTGTAGAGAATTTTATTCCGTTAAATATCATCTCTACCTTGCGATATTGTACATTACATAAGGCTTTGTAAGATAATATTTAAACTTTAACGTTTTCCTATCGTGGTTGCAGCGACGTCTGTCGCAAACTATAATTTTCCTAAGCATAAAGTTCTTTTAAATTATTATAAAATAAGATTAAAGTTTTTGTACAGTTTTCCGTATTAAAAAAATATATATATACATATGTACATATATAATCAATGCCAAAAACAGAAATTTATGAAAACATATTTTGAAGTAATATCATTTTTGAGGTAAGGTGATTTTATATATTACAAGCGCATAATTTTATGATTTGTTTAATTTTTTACAAGTATAAAGAATGTTAATTTAAAAAAAATAATATAAAATTAAATATTTTTAATGACATCAAAAATGTTTTATATAAATTATTAATTATGATTATTTTAACTACTTATATTACTTCTTACCCCAAAAAGACAAATATTATATATATTATTATTGATTATTGAATAGATTTTATATATATTTATTGAATAGGTTTTTTTTCATGTGTGCATGATTTTTATAACGAGATAATCATTACATAAACTATAAATTTTTTTCAGTTTCCTGAGGAAGACAAATTTAGATTCAGGATTGTAATACGACCAGGTTGATGATTGAAAGAGAGTTATATAAGAATGTATAAATTTAAAAAATCCAAATACACCTTGAATGGGATACACAATGTACCAGGAGCATGTTTGCATAGGTAATTTTACAATAATTATATATACTTGCATAGACTTGTATCATATATATATATATATATATATATATATATATATATATATATATATATATATATATACATATATACATATGTATATATATCTGGCAATAAGATTTAGATACTAGATTTTGTAGTTATGGTGTTATTTAAATTGTGACAATAGCATCTTTCGATTTGTATGAATTTGATAGAGATACACATACAAGATTCACATATATTTTTATAGCATATGTCTCTTATTTTATATTTCAGATTAATTACCCGCTTATACTTGAGTAACTTCGGGCAAGTGTTTAATGCAAGCACATAATGTCAATAAATTCGCCAAATGGTGCAAAATTATTTGTATTGCCGTAAAATTATAAAAAAACTGAAAATGTTTCATTTCTTCCACTTTGTAATCTGTCCTGTTACTATATATGGAGACGCAGCCCTATATTATATCGAAAAAAGAGAGCTATTGTTTAATATAAACTTACATACATACAGATACCTATCAGAACAAGTAGAGTAGCTAGTCAGATGATTCATATGATGACAAGAAACTCCAGGTCCCATTGAAGAAATTGAAAGATAGTATGCTACATAACACTGAAAGTAATCCATATATTTTTCTCGTAATACAAGTGTTCATCTTTTGTTAAAATACGAGTTACGCGAGGGCGCGGTATTCTAAAAGAAAAAAAAATAATAAAATGACCTAATCGAGCTTGATAAATAAAAGGAAACCGAGGCATGCAAGAAAAATGCACAATTTAGATATCGTATAGTTACCGAGATAGAGAAGCTTTACAACTAGCAAGCATCGTATAGCTTGTTCCTATGTAATTACTCAATATTTCAGTTCATTCAATACGTCTGAACATCTTGCTTTAAGAATTGCTTATCATGAATATATGGCGTTTAATGAAATTATATTAAATTTCAACGCGAATTAAACGAAATAAATTTGTAAAAACGATTGATATAATTTTTTAAATGCTGTATATTACATTGTAAACAGTTCTCATGAAAATATTGCTCATGCTCATTGAATTGTATGTTTATATCCTGTGTTAATGGTTTCAGAGTATCTATATTACTATTAAACTCTGTTTTTGTTATAATATGTATCTAAAGCAAATTAAGTTATATTGTCGTTCTTGTGTTAAACCTGAACCAGTCAGCAACATTATATTATTCTGATACAAATGTCCTAACTACGTATGATTATTCCGAGGTAGATTTGGTTCAAGTAATGCATAACTTCAGTGCCATATCCCTATACCTGATCTCATATCTGTGATCATTAGCTAAGCTGTAGCTAACATTTTGTTGTACAAAAAGGAAATGTACCTTGCTAAGTAGTCTATTCGATAGATTACTTGTCACTGTCACACTTGTCATTGTTGTACATTTATTCGTCTCTTTGTAAAAATGATTGTAGTTAGAGAATTTTTCATTGTAGAACGCAGTACCTCTTACGTTTACTATAACGCTGTTTTCTTACTTTCAAGAATTTAAAAATTGCTATATTTCCCATACTTGACTGATAAAGGCGTATCTTTTTCATTACTGAATGTGTTTCTTATTGTTACTATTTATTTATTAATCTACAATGCGATAAGTCTGATAGGCTTAAGTTTAACACAAATAAATTTATAAGTTACTATAGTTATATAAATATAATTAGTTCATCAAAATTGCCAAAAGTCTTCATACATATGGATCGAATATAAATAGATCATTAATCATAAATAAATTATTGTATGCATAAAGCATTTATTAAGAAAAGTCTGACGTCTTAAATATTAATCAAGTTAGTATAGTATAAAGTATTTTACATCAGATGCCTCATTAATTCGTGTTCATCAAAAATTCAGTATTGTGTATGCGTAGAACATCTCTTTCGTAATGATAAATAAACCTGTATTTACTTATATTTGTACATTATGTGCATTACATAAAATGTCGACCGCATAAAACTGAGGTAAATATACTGTGCATATGAAAATATACTAATATATTTACCTCTATAATACTCACTGGAACTATAGATTCACCGCTATTACCTATGAAGTAAGGATAGAAATGTTAGAAACTCTCAACAGGGTAAATGTTAATATGCTTTTGATGCTTGCAGAGAGCAGTGGGCGAGAGAAAGAGAGCATCGGGTTCATTATATTTTACATAAATATGTATACTTCTTAACTAAAAAATAGAATATAGTATACTTCTGAACAGGGTAAAAGCGAAAAATACTCGGCTTATAATGTCCGTTAGTTTACATAATACTGGCATCACCTTTAATTAGATGTTAGTTTATTTTACACGTGTATCTAAGGATCATAATTTTTTTTTTTCAACCTTAGTAAAGCGTACGTTTTCCACATGAATAATGCCACTGTCCAAGATCTGTAAATATATTTTTACGTATATGCCGATTAATGCCGTTATAATGCAATTAATTTTCCATGCAAACAAGATAATTGAATCTTTGGGCAACATTCAATACGTTTTCGATATACATAATATAAATATATATACATATATATATATATATATAAATATATATATACATATATATACATACACATATATTCTACGTTCTATACTAGATAATATAAACAAGTATCTGCGAAACATTAAATATATATAGTGAAAAAAGATGTACCGAATGCTTTAAAAATGGCAGTAGTAATTTAACGATCTTGCATACAAATACCAAATTCTGCATTTTCATGAAAATAGCGTACTTCTTTTTACATTGAACTCAAATGTCTCAGAGCTAAACACTAAACTTCTAAAATTGATTTTGTACAATTGCGCGTAATAAATGAATAACTCGATTATATTAAAAATTGAACTCTTTTATTCTTTTTTCAGTCTCTGCATTGTTGTACATTATGAATTTAACTTATCACAATACAATCTTTTTACACACAGGACGCAACCAATATCGGAAATTGGCTAATAATCTCTCGCAAGTTTATAACTATTAATCACGAGATTTATGAACAATTTCATATAGGAAATATTCATCTCTTCTACATAAAGATCTAAGTTACATAAACTTAGGGAATGTATCATATGACTACTTATAAAATACCCGTCTAAACATTATTATATTTTATAAATTTAAATGTGTATTTTAATATTTTACATAATAATATGAACGGCAAGTAAACAAACTTGTGTTAAAAAAATATGTGAAAGTATCATCTAAACATATTTTGCTTCTTTTTCATGTTATTCCTTTCGGGGAATATAACAACTTGCATAATTTGATACATAATTCAATAGTTTATATTACTCATTAGAACTTTTATAACCAGATCTACGACTTTTTTTTTACAAACTTCATAAAAAATTCCTTATACACTATATACGGTATTTATTACATATATTTTGTATATAAGGGCGATTTAAAAAAAAGATGCAGCTGTGTTCTTAGGCCTTAAAAAATAAAGTTGTATAAATAAATATAACATTTTACTATAAAACTTGCAGAAAGGATTTAGAATTACATATTAAATGGTTGATATGTAAATTCAACAAAAACATGTACAATATAACGCAATAAAAAGAAACTTTTCAAGCCTCCATTGACATCATCCCCAAAAAAATAAATAGTTGTCAAATAAAATAATATTACTGAACAATTCTGTTACAAAGCAATGTTGTTGCTTGTGTCAGAATTGGCGTTTATTTACTATTTATGTGTAACGATTGTTTGAATTGTACCATATTGAAATATTTATCTAAACGCAATTTTTGAAACCTGTTTATTAGAACATCATTGTTCTTAGTAGCATAAAATATAAACTTTGTCCTATAAATTATTTTTAATTTATCTACATCTATAAACTTTCAAATGCAGTTTCTCAAATTAAATTCTTTGAGCTATATCTTTTTAGAATATGAGTGAGGTGTAAGTTGCCTAATGGTGAGTGTGATTCTTGCAATATAAAATATTATTTAAGTTATACAGGATGACCATAAGTTTTTTTACGTACGTTCTACTTATACGTAGAGCATATGCTTGAATTTATAGCCATTCTGCATATAATCACATAATTTGTAATTTTAGAAATATAAAATATTTTCTTCTACAACTTATACACATGCATTTTAAAATAATTATTGGATATCTAAATCACAAATATTCACAAGTTTTTTACATATATTGTTAAAAGTGTGGAATTATCTTAAAATAATATTTGTACTTAATGTATTTTTAATCATTCAAGGAATTATTTAATATTCAACAAAAAAAATTATCCTCTTACAGCTCTAGGTATGACAAGCTTCAACCCAATAAGTTTATTTGAATTGTAAAATTTACCATCTAAAAAAATAAAGTATATGAGAAAATAAATAGGAAATATGACTATTCTTACGGGTAGGTTGTACTACTATTAAATCTTTTGCGTTATATCTCAAAAACGAGACAGAAACAAGACATACATATGCAAGAATGTATAACCTCATGATAACAATTTTTTATCTACGAAATTGTTTTAAAGCAACTTGCTGAACTCTATATGATTTATCAAATTGTCAGTAGAATTTATGTCGTATTTTATAAATTCATTTAAGCAAATTTGTGACGAAAAATCAATTATATGGACTCCAAAATTTGCATTTTTAATAACATAATCTATGAATATAGCTAACGTTGTCAAATTTTAAAATATTTTATGGAATACTATCAGAATAGTAATAATTCGTGTCTTTATCGGAGGAACTTTTATCTGCTTGTGAGATATAATATAAAGAATATAAAGAATCATCAGTCTCTAAATCAAATATCGACAAAAAAAAATGTACACAGACCAAACAATTCTCAACATTAAATGTCACAGTTCTTTATATAGAGAATTCATCAATCTCATCGACTAGATAGCAGAAATTCTAAGTTTCATCTAATAATATACAAAATATTTAAATATAAGATTATTCCTAAATATATTTCAAATTATCCCATTAAATAATTATTCTTAATAATAATCAATTATTTTTTAAAAATAATTTTATAAATAAATCAAGACTTCGCACAAATCATAATTTGATTAAGATTCGTTATAGAAAAGTGCACAGTAAAAATAAATTATATAAGAGTAAATACCTTTATTGCCAAATAGCAATAAACGCGCACAATAAAACAGGCAGAATCTTTAGTGATTCAGTTTTGTCTACTGCATACTATCTTGCTAATTATAAAATTAAGCTATCAAAGAAAAATATGGCAGAGATAGTGTGTGTGTGTGTGTGTGTATGTGTGTACTAGATGTGTGTGTGTATATATATATATATACTATGTAAACTATTTCTAATTAACTTTGTAAAACTGAATTGTGAATTATCCGGATTATTCAGTAGTAGCATACTCGGAGGCTGTTAGTTTGAATAATATAGTCATTAATTGTTTTTGGCTTATCTAAAATTATAAAATAAAATATTCTATTTTTTTAAATATAATAATTGTGAAATCTTTTACTTATCTATTTCTGTTATCTATTTTCGCAGTAACTATTTCAGAAATTTAACTTTTACTTTTTATTTTTTTATTATAGAGATCAGTAAAATAGTTGGTTTCATGTATCCTTATTTTTCAGAATATACTTCATTCGCATTATTTGTATTCGTTTAACAGTTAAGCACAACACGTATATATATTTATATATATATATACATAAAATATATGTTTCTAAAAAAATTTTTCAAAAGTACTATCTGATCATGTGACATGTTAGTCTATAATAAAGCATAACTCAGAGAAGCTGCCTTTGCACAAACTTCTAATGTTATCTAATATTATGGATTGTGTCTGAATAACTGTATGAAATGTAACGTTGTATGTAGATTTAGTTGTATTAATAACTTGAAACCTATTAAGATGCGTGTTCTTCGGTGTCGTACGTTCAAATTTCTATCACCATCAAGTTACGAGACTTAGGATGCATTATGCAAGTAGGCAAGAATTAGTGATTTCTTCAGGATTATACAACAATCGATCACGCTGCAAACAAATAAAACAAAAACGGTAAATATAGATTTTTTTAAAATTAAAATTAGGTATTTGCGGTCCGATTTTGCTACATGAAAATCATATCAAATATTTTACTCCGACAAGGTACGGAGAAAATAACTCATTCTCAATAGATCTATTTATGTATATCCTTATTACTTAAACAAAGTAAATAAAAATACAACTTTTTTTTAAACAAAAATCTTTTAATGTATTATGATCACACGTTGCCATATATATGTAAAATTATTTCAGGCTTGAAATATTTATATGTTAAGAAAATTAGACCGCAAAGAACTAAAACATATATTGTAATATAGTTCTCATTCCAAAACTCGCTATCCATGTATAAAAAAATAATTCATCCATATGTAAACAAAATTTAACATCTAGGAAAACTCGTTCTTTGTCAAAATAATTAGCAAATCTATGATCGATAAAAGTAGTTGCTTCAAAATTGATTTTTTATGGATGTTTTTAATAATTTATAAAAAATATTACAAATTTCAATTATCTGTCTTTGTGATACATTACAATAAAATCTAATTATTCTTTTATTTCTTTTTTGAAAATCTCATTATAATGGAGGTAGCAGTTTTGGAATAATCACATAATTTAATTAATTAGTACTCACCTACTAATATTAGTTTTCTTTTTTTTTTCTTTTCTACGTAAGCTCTGTAATAAAACAAAAAATTAGTGATAAGCCAGTATATGGCTCAGATCTTACATAAGAACTGGTTATCTTCAGACAGATGATTTAGATTTTACGATACTAATAACTATAAATACTTGTGACTTGTAATTATAAATAAATATCACAGTAATCAATCTTATATTATTCTAATCTTTGGCATGCATCATCTGTGTACTAAATGTATTTTTCATAATTCTTCAAAATTTTGCTAA